CTCTTTTCTCTAGCTCTCTCCCAGCTTTAAACAGAGGGCTCCCTCTACCCGGAGTAGCCTATTAATCCGGGCGACGGGCCCTTCCCCGCCTGGATTAGAGTTGGCTTCTTCAGCTCCAGCAGGGCTTTCATCCTCTACCACCCTCCCCCAACGACCATTCTCTGAAAGAAGCGGAAAGGGAGAGGCGACCGAAAGGTCCTGGGGGAAGGGACGATGACAAACGGGGGAGCGCGGAACACTGTCCCTGCCATGGGTTCCTTCACTCTGCAGCGCGCACCCCTTTTCCTCTGCCAAGCTGTCCAGTCCTGGGACCGACAATCTGCCCGCCCATGACCCAAATTCTCTAGTCATCACCTCAAACTGTCCCTCCCCCACGCCCCTTCGCCTCCAACAGACAGAGCCCACCCCCACCCCCACCCCGCTCAAGTCAGAGTATCCTTCCTCCAAACCAACCCCCCTTCCCTCCCGTCGCCCACCTCCCTTCCACCACTACTCACTGTCGGTGACTGGGCCCGGCCCTCATGGCTGCTCCGTTACCGACCGCCGCCGCCACAGCAGCTCCACGCCCCAGCCCCTCAATCGCCGCCGCCGCAGTCGGGACTCGCCGGGAGCGGCTCCTGCGCCTGCGCAGCCTGGAGTGCCGGGGCCCTCTCGGCCAGCCCGCGCCTGCGCAATCCGTTCCGGGGGCGTCTTCCTCAGTGCCTGATTCCCTGGACCCCACTTCTCTGCTGAGAAAGCATTCATCTCTCACCAAGAGTAGTGACTTCACAGTTATCCCCCACTCTGGTCAGCAGCCCTTCTTCCCCTGGCCACTTTGCTTCTCACACTCACTCTCACTTCCCAATTTATTATTTTAGAATCATCTTTTTAGAGTTGCTATAATATTTTAGAAGTTTAAATCCAAGCATTAGGCTCATGTCTCCTCTGAAAATGTTCCAAGCTTCCTGTCCTGCTCTGCTGCATGATACAATGTTACTCTGCCAAAGTCTTAGCTCATTTCCTCCTTCTGCTTGTCCTGATATGGTGGTGCACATCAATAATGCCCTCTCCCTTCCCATTTTGACTTTGCTGTCTGCTTGGAATGCCCTATCTTCCTTGTCCATCTGTGAGGGCCTATCATGCAGGTTCAATACAGGAGGCCTTTACTGACAATACCTGCACCCAGCCTTCCCTCAACACTCGTAACAAGCTGTACCTCCTTCTAGCAGACCACTTATTCATCAGTTCTAAGGCATACTCCCCCCGACACACACACATACACATTTCTCTGAAAACAGACTACATCTTATAACTGATGGCATGCCAGTCTCATTAGCAGCATTTCTTCTTTCTTAGTGGTATATAAAATAGTTGTGAGCCTTACAATCATTGACACCACAGGTTTGATGAAATAAGGTATTACATTCCATTATAATTACTTTGTCTATTTGTTTCCTCCACTAGACTGTGAATCCCCAGAGGGCAGGAGTTATGTCATAATCAACTTTGTCCAGCACAGATTTGGGCACAAAGAGAGAGCGTATCCAATAAACACTAGTAATAATTAGCATTTATTTAGCATTTAGTATCAGGTACTATTCTAAATACTTTACATGTAGTAACTTCACACTTATCGCCCACTCTGGTCAGCAGCCATTTTAACATTTAACCATCACAAACAACCCCCTTTAGTAAGTACAATTATTATCTTTGTTTTAAAAATGAGGGAACTGAGGTAAAGACACATAGGTAAGCTCATTCAAAGATACACAAAGTTGCACAAGATTTGAACGCATGTTTGCTGATTGATTCAGTTTCTCATTTTTCCATTTATCAAATATTTAATGCACAATTACTTCATGCCAACTACTGTATTAAACACTGGTAAGCAAGCCCTGGTCCTCAGGTTCTCTGAACCATAGGGACATTATTGAATTCTTTACCCTCCAAACATCAGATCCAACCTACAAATTCACTAAATTAAATCCACTCTCCTCTTTTATTTTTCCTTTTTTAAAATGTTCCCATATATAGTCCTCCTTTAAAGTTGTTAGCACTCTATCAAAAACCAAACAAATGACACACACACACACAAAAAAAAAATTGCACTCTATTATTCATTAGCAGCTGTGAAAATATCACAAGAGACTTCAGTTAAGAAATGGGATGATGGGTGGCAAGATCAGAAGCGCTCGTAAGAAACGATTATTCTGTTCACAAGCAAATATTCACAGTAAAAAAGAGATGGAGGTAAAAACACCATAATTTTGTTTTTAAATAGACCGTTTTTAAAAGTTTTCCCTGAGGCATGAGATCTTTTTTAAGAAAAATGATTCATTTTATCAGAATAAAAATGAACTAGTAAACCTTATTCCTTTTATTTTAGCCCTTGCTATGTCAGGGGTTCTCAGAAGCCCTTACATCCCCACTTTAGACAGACTGCTCACACAACAGGCAGTCAAGGCACTAACCATCCCCTTTCTCTCCCCCAGGGGAAGGCTACTCATTCGGTAAGTCATCTACTATATAAAAGTAACCACAAATAGGAAAGAGAATAGAAGAAGGGATGGACAGGAAATTCTCATCACAGCTGAACAAACCTCTATCATTTTAACATAACACAGATGGCATTTATGGACTTGTTTGAACTGATGGAAATTTCCAACAGAAGGAAAAAATGCATTACCAAAATTAAAAATGGATGTCCATTTATTAAAAATAAAATGTCTAGGGCAGCTCTAACATTCTATACCTCTACTTTATCCTCCATGTGGTAGTCAAAGACAGAACAAATTTGTATTCTGTAAACGACCTATGACAACAGTAACAAATGCTTCCTTTTTCAAACTAGCCTCTGAAAAAGAATAATCAGTGTCATGGACAATGAATTTATTGGGAGAGCAATGTTAAAAATGATGTATCACTGTCCATCTTCAGGAAAGAGAGGTAAAACACGTTTTACAACACAGACGTTAAAGACAACTAGGGTTCATTTCCTTCATTCCTATAACTCATTTTCCTTATCTGTAAATCTTTAAGGATGTAATACAGCCACTCCCTACCTTTGCTCAGATGAAAGACAAATCACTCACTAATTTCCAAAAGGCCTCAGCTCACCATTTCAAGCTCTCAATCTTCAGGGCCAGCAAAGCTGAAGCATCCGCTGTCTCTATCCTTTTGAAAGGAATTTACCTCTCTTTCAAAAGCTGTGGCTTGAAAGCCATCTTCTCTCTCTGGCAGTACACAGTTTAACTCTGTCCTCTGCTTTGTCTGCCCTAAACAACAAGAACGTAACAAAGCCTCAGAAGTGCTCCTTCAGCCCATTCGAAAGAACAAGCCACCTCTTGGGCGCTTGTACAGAAGCTTCTTTCTCTGAGAGACACTCCACCCTGGAGGTTCCATGGGCAGAATAACAAAAAATGGAGCTGAAAAGCTGCTGCTATATGCTTATCTGACCTCCAAAACAGAGACAGGGCCCTGGAGCAACCAGAGACCCCTTTGTAAAGAAAACCTCTTTTTACAATTTAAAAATAACAAATTGTATTTGCACATCCCTCACTGTGCAGCCTTTCCGGCTTGTCTCAAACTAGTTTTCTCAACTCGTAATAAAGCACATTAGTACCAACTGTGTTACAAAAGAACGAACCTGAGTGACCTATGTTCAGAAAGCATTTAACACATTGGCCCTCAATTCTCTATTTCCTTCCTCTTGGGTAAGGAACTACATACGATTTGCAAAAATGCCTGAGACTATGTATGGTATTTTTCCTACACAACTCTGATGGCTAATTTGTCACATCACAGAACAAACTGGTATTTCTGCACATGATCTGCTGCGCCTAGGTAGAAAGCACGTATGTGCCTACTGAGGTTTTACAAACAATATGCTTTGCCTTGACAAAGAAATCAGTCATTCCATTAGTAACCGTAAGGCCTAAAATCCAGTAATAACTGTTAGTGATACAGTAACATCAGCTTAATACTAACAATTCACAATTTCCATCAACGATCTCAAACACATACATGACGCCTGCAATAGCCCATTTAAGCACTACATCTTCCAGAGGCTCAGAAAGGTTAAGTGAAACCTGCCCAAGATTATGTATCAGCTTTACCAGTGATGGACGTGGGTTCGAAACTGTCGGACTCTAAACCCCCAGCTCTTTTCTCTAGCTCTCTCCCAGCTTTAAACAGAGGGCTCCCTCTACCCGGAGTAGCCTAT